GGAAAACCCGAGAAGTAGCCGGTGAATAGTTTAGTGCTTTAAGATACGCGGTAACATCTGGTTGGTTGCTAGAAGGCACATTGGAATGTGATAGCAGGTGGTGAGCTTTACTCAGTTAGTTTGTGGGGAGGCGTCCACTACAATACGATAAGTGTAAATATCTATCAAAGTCTTCCCAGGTCCAGGATACCATAGCAAAAACAGTCATCGACCTCAGGGTGACCCATCACAATTATCTTCAAGGACAACTATCTATGTTCACCTGTATAGTATATATGAGGTGCCTCAAAGAGAACCCAGGTTCTCAACTGGCACAGCTATGTTAATATTGTTATTAATATCCACTCTGTATCTGTATTCTTCTGGTTAAATAAACCGTTTCAATTCAATTCAACATCACAACTAACTGCAAGGACAACTTTCTATGTTCATCATGACATTAAAGCTGGCAGTGGTATATGCTTAATAATAGAACAGCCTCTATGGGTACTGCTACCCTAGCCCTATGTTCAGAGTCCTGTATTGTCAAGTGGAAGCACTCACCTGGTACCCTTTCTACAGGCAGTGCGCTAACCCAGAAAATGCAGGAGACCAAGGAAAAGCCTCAGTTCTAGTGTCCCACTGACCAACAGGAGAATTTGAAGAAAGTTTTACAGCTGGATATTCTTCCTACCACCAGCTCACTTTTCCATGGGTAGGAAATGGACATTATATGTAGGATTTCCAAACAATCACATAGTATTGTCAGAATGGAGACCAGTACCAAAAATTACTGGCAAAAAGCTTTTATATATAGCTTCACCCCATGACAGTTGTGGCGTCATCAATATTGACTTTTCATAATTCTCTGTGTATGGTACCAGACAGGTTGACTTGGATATGTGAGGTGGTGTCAGTAATGTCTCACCGGGTTAAGCTCTGACAACTATCATAACCTAACATTAAAGAGACCAACACAAGTGGCCCCCCTTGCTCTCCCTCACACTCCTGAACCTCATCTACATGATACATCCTCCGACTCCACCATCACCTCACCACACCCTTCCTTCCCAACCTTTACTAGTCAACTCAACACCTAACTTTTTATTATTTAGTGGTGGTGGAGATGGGAGGAATGTGGGCTCCCAGAAAACATCCAACCCCTGGATGTGATGCTGTAGATCGTAGTCATTATGAAAATAAGAAAACTCTGGAAATAAAAAATGCCAATATATATATACAGTATATATATATTAATTTAAACTTTATTGACAATTATATACAGTCCTCCATCTAATTTCAATTGATACATTATATCGTTTGAGCATGAATTTTGGAAACATAACTAAGATACTTTACAAGTCTTAGGCTCAGGTACCATACACAAATACCAATCCAAGACTTGCAAATGAATCATAGTTATTAATGCCACCTGTGGGAGTAGTGATCACCAATGAAAAAATCATTGGCATATCACTTTTGTAAACTCTTTACTGGCATGTGCTTGTACAGTACCTCAAAATTAAGTTAAAGGTTAATTTACAGTTATAATAAAAAATCTATTTCATCCTAACCAACAATACCACATGTACAACACTAATGACACTGTACCAACCTAAAAATTCAGATCCCCCAGCACGCAAGGTCATTATTGGAAGCATTAAGAGTGCTTCTACTGCATCAACAATCTCTGTACAATACAATACTTCAAGAAATTTCAAGTGTGTGTGTATGAAACAAACTTAAGTAGTCAGAACCTATCAATCAAAACTGAACATACAAGTATAAGGATTATGCTATTACTCATTATATATATATATATATATATATATATATATATATATATATATATATATATATATATATATATATAAAACAAAGTGTGTAACAAGCCATTTCACGTGATGACTTGGTCATTTCATAAAACGCCCAAAATCTTCAGCCATTGCATGAAATGGCAAAAATTCTAGCTTTGTCATTTCATGATATGGCTAAAATGACTTGCGTGTGTATCAAAACAAGTTATTATTTGAAGTGGTCGTTAGCACTTCACCAGGTTAAAGTTGGGTGTGACAGTCACATACTGCTTTGTTTACCAAACACCAGTGGGTAGGTATAAAAGGAGGGTGATATTAGTCCTTGATCAGTTGTCTACTGGCTTTGCTACAGTCCAGAATGGCTTAGGGTAATTTTGAAGCCGAGTTTAGACAAGCACTTTTCAAAAAATATCAGTAGTGTCAAAAGAAATTAATTCCCAAAGAGCACCAGCCCACACCCATGACCAGCCTCTACCACTCAGTCCTTCATCACTTGCAAGATGCCAATATGACATAGCAGAGTAATGGAAGAGAGCCATACAAGCAATGCTCTCACATGCTGAGCACATGGTAAGGCACAGCTGCATAGACCTGAAGGCAGGGGAAATGGGAGATAATAATGCTGTTCCCATTTCCATGGTCGATAGGGTAAATGGGAGGCGCATGCAACATCATTGATCCCGATGAAAATTACCTCTACACTATAGCCGTTAAAAGTGGGATACTGAAGACCAAGTATGCATGTAATCAGAAACTTCTTACTCAGTGTGATGCCTAGCAAGATGAGCAGGTCTCCCTTTGGTAGGCTTTAAAGTCTACAGCCACTAGTGGTCAGGGTTTTGAAAGACGTAACTGTGGTACTGGCAAGAAAAAGTGTGGTACAAATAGATGCAAGTGTTGCAAGGCTAAACAAAATTGTAATAGCCATTGTCATAGTCTCACATGTGCAAAAAAATGAGTGTAAAGTGGTCCTTCTAACTTTATGTGATTATTGTAGATTTTTAATTTGAAGTTGAGCTTTCTTAACTTAGAGTTGTTGAGCAACGTTATCTGCAGATCCATTTAAATAAAAGTTTCCAAGTTAAATTTCAGCCATTTCACGCAATGGCTGGTTACACACTTTGACTGCTATAAACTACTGTTACAGCATTCATTTAAATTGTATCTCAGCCCCCCCCCCCAAAGCAATATCACCTGAAATTAATGTGCAAATTATGACAAATTAATCTCCCACCAACCTTGTCTACTGCATAATGTGAAATTCATTCATGTCTACATGTATATTTCTTCTCTTTAATGTTACATAGCACTTCATGTTATAGTATTCACATCAAAACCTCTACGTTTCATTTATAGAATGAATAAGACAACCTATGGACACTACATACCAGCATTATCACCAAATATGACTGGCCAGGTTGTGTGGCCTTCACAGAATGAGGTGGGTTATGTACACCACTTTTGTTTTATCATTATTTTACTTGCCAGCTGCTACTTCTTTCATGCGATTTAGAGCTGAACCTGCCTTAAACCAGGTAATTTGCTGTTCATTACACGAGTGGTTCAGCTTGATGGTTTCTGTGGAACCATCGGGATGTGTGATGCGACACTCAATCGGCTGAAAAGAGAAATCAATGCCAATAAATTTTATAACTAATACTGTCCAGAAGATTCGTTTCCTTCAAACATAACATGGTTATATCATCAATATCTCAGGCCTTGTATGTGTGTACAGTATTTACAAGGTATTCACTACTATTCTTGATTTGTTCTTTATTTGTGAAAGAGGGCCCTGTAAGCATGTGGCCCATTTGGGTATAATAATAATGGATGCCCCTCGCGTAACGAGGATGGCCGGCCCTAGGGCCACCTAGGCGTGAATTTGTTTAAGGTGTAGAAGCTGTCGCCAACATAACAACCACACCCTAAGTTAACGAGTTGCATGACCCAGTGTCAATGAATAGTCAAAAAAGACTGGACAACTCGCCAACTGCACTGGCTAACCATTATCCTGCAATACAATCTGCAAATCAATTAACATCCAGGTTCCCAATTATTGCTGGATAGAAAGAGGCAAATGGCATAAAGAAACTTGCCCATAGTTTCGCCCTGCCCGGGGATCGAACACGGGTCCGTTCGCTTGCGAGGCGAGCATGCTGACCATTACACCACACGTATACATTTGACTACAAAGCCTCCAGTAAATAAAAAAGAAATATGGCAAGCACTACACTCTTACCACCTTCACTTCCTTAACTGTAAAGCAGGGTACCCATTCAAAGCTGGTTGGATTGGGGTGTATCAGACACTCGCAATTATTCATACATTAACGTTGACTTATATATTACTCCCTAGGTCTCCCATTCTTTACGGATTCCTTTAACTCTGCATCCACTTGTTTAGAATTTCAATAAACCACCAGTACTCAATGAATCAGTCTACAAAAACCAGCTCTTCTGTTTTCCCTGAACACTACAGAGTATATGTGCATACAGTGGTCGCGATAATTCGCAACGCAAAATACAAATTCACGTTCTTAATCCACAGGTACTGTACCTCTATTACTACCTCTTTCAAATTTTGCAGTCAAATATCCATAATTTGTGTTTATTTACAAGAAAAATCATAAAATGGCCAAAATAAAACCTCAGTGCTCTAATGTGAAGAGAAATAAAGAAAATATATTATAAATATCATTTGTGAAATCTGTGTGGGAGAAGGACAAAGTACATGTACAATGCAGACACAGAGCTATATTTATTTATGCAAATACCACTGTACACAAACAATGTATTGGAAAGAAATAAATTACACTACTGTATACACTATACTGTACTGTACTCACCAGCAGATGCTGTCATCTTGAGCTTGTGATGCAGGCAGGCCAAATGGTAATATAATGATATAGAATGGCTTGCCTTTGTCCTGTACTACAGTATCTCCTGTGGTAACTTGGTGCCATGCTTTTTTTATGCAGCTTTCTGCATTGTACACATGCTGTACAAAGTACACACACCCTTTACAGTCTACACTAGGCAAACACTATCGACTCTGCTATGCACAGTAAAATACTGTATATAAGGTACCCTCACACTTAATGAATGTATAGTACAGTATACATACTGTAACTATTTACTTTTTACATCTTGAAACTGCATTAACTGTATTCTTGGCAGACTGTATCCTGGTACAGTACTGCATAAATCAAATCATATATGAAAAAAAAACAGCAAAGATCAAGTGAACAAGCTTGTACAAAGGCAGCAGACTATGGAAGAAGCACTGAGATACATCAGCCATTCACAGGCATCCCATGCAGTCACATGACAATACTGTAGTAGCCAATCACAGCGCACGAGCAGACGGCCTAAGTTCCCAATGTCAGTCTCCTCTCCCTCCATGAAGGAGGGATTGCACATATACTGTATACTGTACATACAGTACACCCTCTACACACTAGCATACACTGTGCACTCTTATGTACAATACTGAACATATTAGGGCTAATATAGTGGTACTCATATAAATCATCATGTGTCAGGGAAAGACTTCTGGTTGAATCAAGTCTAATTAGATAGATAAATTCTATAAACTTTAGTGATGGTCAGTACCAAACTGATATTTTACAGAAATTATTTGTCAGTGGCTTAAGGTTATATGTGCTTTGGAAAGTATTTGGGATGGTAGTGGGGTAGGGTGTTAAGCTAGGATTCCATTCATGCGGTAGCAGCAGTAGAGTCAGCGGCAAAAATCAACCATATTGAAATGTACACGGTCGTTTCCATTGGCATGGGTGCATTTGCGGAACATGTCAATCGCTCCCTGTAGTGATTGAAAATGCAACTGCATGGAAATGAACAAGGGAATCCCACAGTGTGACGACACTATCCCTGTGTTCGCTCTCCTCACCCAGCAAAATGCCTCGAGGAAAAAAACAGTTTTCTGCTGAGGAGACTGAGAAGTTGATTGAACTTTGGGTCAACAGGAGTGTCTTTATGATGTAACTTTGCCTACCTACAAGGATGTACAACTGGCCCACAATACATGAAAGAGCATCGCTGATATCATATGAAGGGAGGATTTGGATGGTATTAACACCCATTCAAGTAGCCTACACACCATGCATGTTTATTGTTACCGGTACTCCAGCCAGTACTTTACAGACTTAACAAAGCCTGCATCCTTGTACGAGATACAAATTAAGATATGACCAGGAATGATAAGTCATATTTAGTACAGTATAGCCTATTGTGGGCAATGTGGGGTGTGTTCCTTCCCACACATGGATTTTCAGATCTCCCCCCTTCATAAGGTTCTCTGCACACACAATAGACAATTTAGTCAGTGTGATAATATGAGTGTAAAGGCAGCTGTGAAATTAAGAGATGACAGAGAGGAATAACAGGTCACTCAGTATAGCCTGATAAGTGACAGAAGTAGTATTAATAGATTTTTGGACATCCCCCCTTCATAAAGTTCTCTAATACATCAGGCAATGTATATAGTAGTCAGTGTGATAATAAAAGTAGTGAACGAGCGAACAAGCTTGTACAGCAGCAGTGGACAATCAACTAAGTGTCATGATGCTAGAGTTTGAGGTGGTAAGCTGTGAAATACATTAGCCAATCATAGGCATCCCATTCAGTCTTATGACAGTAGTGGCCAATCGTAGCTCATGAGCACCCTCAGCTTACTCACCCATGCCACCCCACAGAAAGCATGATGCAATTTTCGGAATTTCATTTCCAAGCCCGGAAAAGTTTTTTTCTTGGAAGTTTCCAGAAATGCGACTATTTTATCCTTGACCCCCAACATTGAAGAGTTCTGGGGATCAAAGGTTTTGGCTAACGTAGAGATTACAGTACTGTATTACGAGTTTGTAGTGAAAATAATTCTTAAAATATATCAATGGTTTTTACAATAATATGTGCTTAAGGGAAATCATATCGTTTAACCTACACTGTGTTGTTTGGCATTGTTCTGTAATAACTGTTATTGAGGTTTGTGTATTTATTCCCTAATATCTGTGTTTCATTACTGTCTTTATGTGAGACTGACAAAGAAAACCATTTAAAACTGAACCACCATAATTAAGGTAGAGTAAATTGAATTTATAAATACTGAACTGTAAAATAATCATTATCATATAAGATGTGTATTTGATGGCTGGAAATGGAAGAATGGAATCTTCCACATAAAGGACAGAGCTTGCATGAATTAGTCCAGTATTGGGAGAGATTTACTGTATACAGATGTGGTGAAGGTGCCACACATGCACTTAAATGTTGAGCATTTAAGAGTAGACTAAAGGTCAAGAACAAAAACACATTATACAATTTATAAACTTATTAAGTCAACTGCATTTTATAAATAACCAGTTCATATCTACAACCCATGGTGATTCAGAACACTGCATACAGTATAGAAGATGTATAGTGCATTTTTTCTCAGTTGAAGTTGTTCGCTGTCGTATTTCTCGCCTCTGCTGACGGCCGTGTAAATATTTCAATGTGATTCTGATATTGTAAAATGTTAGTTTTTGCATAATATAGTATTACAGAGACATAATTTGTCTTTGTAAGCCTTATTGTGGGTAAAAATAAGTACTGTATATATTAAATGCCTCCACCGAAAGTGTGAATTTGCTACCAGAGTTTAACAGTTAATTCATATATAAGATTTCTTATAAACTTCCTACGTGCTCATGTTTGAAATAATTAACGTATGTATCTTTATATAATTTAGCTAGACATTTTTCTCATTAGAAACGGTCATCCCAACGATTATGAATATACTCATTTAGAAATACATCATTACTTCAGGATGAAATCGGACAGATTTGAAACCACCAATCAGCTGTAATTCTTGAGGAGGGGGCGGGGCATCTTTTCTCAGCTGAGAAAAAACGCTCTAAGTTACCCCGGTATGTCACCCAACATACATTTTATGTAAAAATTACAAGTCACTGCACAATGGATAAAGATGCCATGTATCACAACTATACTGCCAGGATTCACAGGCAGATACTAAATATGTACCATACTAACCTTTCCTGGAGCAAATTCTGCTAATCCAAGGAGGGAAATTTTGTCATCAGATCCAATCTTGTCATAGTCAGCAGGATCAGCAAAAGTGAGAGGCAACATTCCCTGTTTCTTGAGGTTGGTTTCATGGATACGGGCAAAGGACTTCACAATAATTGCACGCCCACCTAGATGACGAGGCTCAAGAGCAGCATGTTCTCGTGAACTTCCTTCACCTGAAAATCATCACTATCAATGTTTTTTGACCATTTCTTACCCCCCATAAACCTAGGGTGCTTGCCCAGAAAATGAAGCAAAGACCAGGAGATAGGCCCAGTTCTAGTGACCCTGCTGCCATCAGGCATGTTGAAGCAAGTTTGATCAAGTGGCCCTGGTTAAAAAAGAAAAACACATCAGTTTTTCTTTTCTCTTGGAATATGATACTTACATATCTGTATTAATCACTTGGTGGTTTACTACACCTGTATACATCTTCATAATTTATAGTTATGAAAATTAAGGTACAAGTGGGTTATGTCTCTGTAAGACTCCCCAGACACTGTGGTGCAATAACTGATGCCCAGACAACTACCATTTGTCTAACACCTGACTAAGGATGAAGGTTAACTATGAGTCTATGACATTAAATTTCATGTTTATTCCCACCATTAAAATTCTTAGGTTTGGGTAGGGGCTCTCCCAGAACACGCTCGGGGTCTGACCAGTTACTTACCTCACAGCACTTGACTGCACCACAAAAGATAATTGTATGTAATGAGTAATAGTAAGCTTGCTATTTGAGATAAAAAGGTGGGATTTACTGCATTAGCACTGTAAATATAATATCTGCAAACAGTTTTATATGAGTAATCAGGATATAATACTTATTTCTATGTGTAAGCACAAGTAGAACAAAAAATTTTAATGCTCAATGAAAATGATTATTCATCACTTTATACCTTCATTATTTCATGTGATTGCAATATAAACCTTATTCCATTATAAGCACACACATTTTGGAAACAAATATTTATAGAAGAAAAGTTGTGAAAAATAATATTTCACTTGGGAGAGGCATCAGGAGGAACCACACCATTACCATGTGGTGCAATCTCCTTGCACTTTTTACGTTTTCCCACCCCTCCACCCTCACCAGCAACATGAGGCACGGTTCAAAACTCCCAAAAAACTTATGAATCAATGAAATCACTGTGATGCACAAGAAATCAGCACAAGCCGCAAGAAAATGTAGATCAGCGTCATATCCTGGGTACTTTAAAAATACCCAGGATATATATATATATATATATATATATATATATATATATATATATATATATATATATATATATATATATATATATATATATATATATATATATATATATATATATATATATATATATATATATATATATATATATATATATATATATATATATATATATATATATATATATATATATATATATATATATATATATATATATATATATATATATATATATATATATATATATATATATATATATATATATATATATATATATATATATATAATATATATATATATATATATATATATATATATATATATATATATATATATATATATATATATATATATATATATGCTGATAACCACACACAG